TCACCGAATTGGACCGTATAATGTACTTACAATAATTTTTAATTTAATATGTATAATCTGTTGATGTAAAATTTTTTTGTGACATGACATCATGTGTCACGTGAGACACACGATAAACTTAATCGGGCGGTAGCCGACAGGGAGAAATTATAAAAATATTATAAAAAAACGATTCAATCTACTAGAACTCGATCCAACTTACGATATACTAAAAGAAGTCTCGTTATCAATCGGTCCCATCTTATCAGGTCGGCGTAACATCGCCGGTAAATCATTGGGGTCCTTGGCGGGGCACCTTTAATTACCGGGCGTGCACGAGAGGAAAAAAATATGAAGACGTAATACGTTATCCGCTTGCCTTCCTCTCCCGGGTGCCTACCGGTAGATAGAGAGGCTGGTCCAGTTGATGCCGAGAGGCGTTGCTCATAAATAATGAACACGTATTCATGAACGCCACCGGTTATTTCGTCTTTGAGGATGAGCCACAACTAGATAGAATTCATGTTTAGTTAGTCCGTATCTGCAGCGATTGGAAAAACCGCTTCAGAAATACAAAGATGTTTTCCGTCATGGATTATGTTACGGGTAATGCAAAGTCCACAAGTGGGCAATGTTGACCATTGTACAGCAGACAACTCTTCTGTTACGGGCAATGCCCGTAACAGAAACATATCGTGAATAGAATATTCCAAGATTTATGCGATATGAAATGAGGCGCATTTCTTATCATTCATTTATTAGGAAAATGGATTTAAATAATGCGAACTTTTCCTGCAATATTAATTTGTTCTAACAAGTCATGAGAATGGCGCGTATTGTTACATTTGAATTGATTATTCAATGTTCGTGAGACGATTTCGATTATGAAAAATATATATACATAAAACACTCTATTTGTTATTTATATAAAATTACTATTATTAATATTATAAATGAATGGAAAGAAGGAGAAAATATGGTGATGCGATAATTTATCTATACAATCTAAAATCTATGTATAGACATTTTTATTGTGTGACATTTTAATCATAATGTAGATATATAAATTATAAAAATGATCGCAAACATATATTTTTATAATTTCTAAATATAAGTTGAAATCACATATTGATGACTTATGTAAAATCAAGTATTTAATTTTTAATTTATATTTATGTAGTAAATTTATAATATTTGTAACATTTATGCTACTTGCTTTATATCATTATGTACGACCAGTAGATCGCAAGATCTTTAATCGGGATGACATAGCGAGAGCGTACTAATTAAATTCCAACGAGTAGGTTGATGGACACAAGTCCGGCATACAAGGACGAGTCATATCGATCCAGTTGAACGATTAATACATCCCGTTGCGCGCGCGGTGAAGTGCGAGGTCGATGGACTGTTTAATCGCCGATAGTTTTCCTAGGAAAGAAAATGGCCGAGGTGGTAATCGCTACCTGCGGAAGCCTGGCGATCGACGGCAGATAGGATACCAATATAATGTACTGTCTATCGGGATGTTTCGACGAGCGTTTCGCTCCGTCGTTCATTCTCGAATAATCTCGCGGAGCGGATATCTAAACGAGAAGCTCGGAGCGCAGCCTCCGGGCGGTGCGTACATACGGATGTGTACGCACATATAATAAACCCGATGTGTGTAGAAGTGGAAGTGCTCTTTCTCTCTCGAGTGATATATATCGGACGCGATATATCGTCCTTGATGGTACACCTCGAAGCCAGGACGAACTACTCGTTGCGCCGCCACGCACTCGCCGCGCGACCGAAGCCATCTCGCCCTCGCGAAACAATATGATGGTTAACGTAACAAGCTCTCATCTTGGCTTCATACCTTAGGTATCCCACTGCGGCACAGGATTCATGTCCGGACACCTAAGGCGACGCTTCCAGAATAATTTCTGGGATAATACGTTCCTTGCTGCTCTGACGTTGTTATAGGATTTCCCTGGAGTGCTGTATAATTATTGTTAACTTAGATGGATGAATAGGATCTGACTTTTGAGAATAAAGTATCAGAATGATGAAAGAATTTCTATTAGAGCTATTTATCTGACTATTAGTGTCCTGAGAAATTTATGAATGTCTTTACAAGACATTATGTCAATTGCTAGAAAGACGAGTGTAAACGACATAGCGATATTTTACGATATACTTGAAAAAATTCAACGTAGAATATAATTAAGGTTACAGTAAATCCAGATACAGTCTTTGATAAGATTGCTCATGACACAAACTGAAAACTTTGATAAGACAGAAAATGTACGTATATTCTAGTTCGCATGATTCAACGCTATTTAAAATTTTAATTAGATTAGATATTTTATTTTTGCGAAATGATATAGAAAATATGTCAGCGATTGTCATTTATAAATGTATAATGAATTATTCTCGTTCTTTTGAAGTACATGTTTAACGAGAATCGCGAAAAAACACGGCAGTAGAATTGTTACGAAAATAAGATCGCGCTATCCGAGAATCAGCCGATGATATTGTTTTACGAGCGATGCTCGAAGAACTGTGGGATACAAGCAAACGAGATGTTCGTGTCTTGTTTCACCTTGACGTAGTGTCCACCTAGACTGCTATACGAGCCTCGACTGATCAGACGCGAAGAAAGACGTAGCATTGATAGCTGGACATTGAACGACATGCTTGGAAGAAGCTTCGTGGGACAATCTATCGTCAAGTTCTACCAACGATCTCAGGAAGCGCCTGGAATTCAATGGCTGTTCTTCCGTTCAGTCTCGTAACTGGATCCAAATATGGAATCCAGGCAGAGAATATCCCGATTAACCGTAATCGGTAGTCTACACAGAGAAAAATGGGTAATATCTTACAAGTTTAATAAAAATATTCTGACTATTTTTGCCGAACTTATGACAAAATTTTATTTGCCTGAAAAGTACAATTATAATAAATCTATTCAAATAATTATTATCTTACAGTAAAGTAAATCATACATTCACAAAACTGTAAACATGAATAACTCTCAAAACTTCACTTTTCTGGTAAATTTTTTTTAAATAAGCGCTTATCCCTACATGGACTTGCTAATTTCAAAAATTATTAGAATTCTAGTGCATATTACTTTACATTTTTCTCCGTGTAAACACTTGGAAAAGACAGTGCGACTGTCCTAATAATAATGTTAATGAAAATATTTCCTCGCTGTAAACAATGGGAAGTAATGGACGATTTCTCGTTTCATTTTTGATTGCTATTATAGCTATTATATCTTATAAGTAATTCGATGATATCTTTCACAAGCATTTTCAATTATCAGTCATTTCTTTTAAATCGCTTATTTTGCCGCAATTTTCCATCTGATTTATCTCATCCTAATCTCTTCCTAATTTTACTGAAGAAATAGTAAATATATGTATCTTTAATTTGTAACCAGTTGTTTACGTTGGATTTCTCATATTTCCAAATCAGATTGCTTTAACATAAACATCCTTTCGTGTATCCCTTTCATCCTCAATAATTATCATCGGGCTATGCATTTCGTCGCAGTGTTTTAAAACTCTTATATCCTACCCCTCTCGTTTTCATATTTATCTCATCGCCATAGTTTCGCGATGCAAGAAAATTATTTGGAATTTTTCCCGGGTGGAATCACTGCGCCGACACTGATCGTCGCGACAGGTTACACCGGTAGCCAAGTCGGCTCTCTTCCAGAGGACTCCGTTGATTCCTACTCCTGCGTTCCACCACGATCCGCCACCACCACTATCATCATCACCACCACCACAACCACCACTACTGCCACCGCCGCCGCCGTCGCCGCCGCCGCCAGCATCACCACTTTCGTTCATCCACCACCATCTACTCCGGCTACCACCTCCTTCACGGGGCACTCGCCATGTGACTGACTCCCCTTCTCCGTTGAACGATGGGCCTGCCTACCTGCCGCCCGTTGCCCCGCTCCCATTACGACGCGGACTCTCGCGGCAGGTGCACCAACCTAAGTGCCACTCCGCTTACTTGTGTGTGTGTGCCTACCAAGGCAGAGTAGTGTGTCCAGTGGTCAGGTTCTTCCTTCTCTTTCTTTCTCTTCTTTTCTTTTTCCCTCTCTCTCTCTCTCTCTCTCTCTCTCTCTCTCTCTCTCCCTCCCTCTCCCTCTCTCCCTTTTTCTCTTCCTTTCCCCGCTCGCTATCTCTTCCGCCGTCTTTTTCCCCCTATCTATCCCCCTACCTGTGTGTCTCCGTCTCTCTCTCTCTCTGTCTCTCTCTTTTTCCCCCTACTGTTTCTGTCTATCCGTCTATCCTCTTCGACATCACCTCACGCAGCAGTGCCGTGTTGTAGTGTCGTGTCATCCCGCGGTACGTCAACGATCCTCTCGGACTGAAGGCAAGGATCGACCGGGTCGAGAATACACTCTGCGATTACTGGGGCCGGTCGATCGCCGGTCTACAGTAGGGTGAAGAAAGTGAACCCACCTCACCGTGAAGGTGAAGGGAGTGATATTCCCAATGGAACGCGCGTTCTCTAGACATCAATAGTCGAAGGTTTGCGACGAACGAGTGATCTGTTGAAATATTTGGATACGAGAAATCTGTTGAATCTGTTTTGACTCAATCAGTAGGAAACAAGATCTTATGTTGGTGAAAACTGTCGCGATGATCGAAGACAAGCATGTTCGTTAAGAACAACATTCAAGTCTGCCAAGACTCAAGATCTGGTGTCGTATTATACTGTACCAACAATTTTTAATATCTGTATGAATAGTTTAATGATTGCGTTTCGAGTGAAAAGAGTAAGAGAAAGAGTCGTCTGGTGATATATAGAGACTCGATTGTGATCCGCGCGAGCCGAAGACAGCTATTATTCGACGAGTTGCAAGGTGCGCTGAAGAAGGAGACATTCGGTGAAGGTGTCAAACGTCGGCGGCACCTCATTGACATTTTCGTGACATTTAGTGCGTGATTCGAGTCGAATGCCAGACACCTTTCCGTGTAACACGCGTGTCCTTCGTTGTTATACGACAGCGAAATCTTGGACGGTTTACGGGGAAGCGTGTTGAAGAAAACGACACGACGAGCGAGAGAAGACGGCACTGCGGCGGAAAGGAAGTGAAACGAAGGCCAGGCGAGTCGATGACGCGTCCTCCGTGCCTTATCAACAGCAGAACCGGAGCGCGGTGACGGCGAAGACTCATCCGAGAGACTTATCTGTCTCTCGGAATTCTTCAGTTGCATGTGTATGGCGTAGAATACAAATAAGACGACCTGCATTCTTGCAGAGATCTTCCTCCGAATCTTTGTTGAGCGAACCACGAAACAAGATCCTTGAGCCTATCTGAAATACAGAGCTCTGTTGCGGAGCAACAGGTGGTTATACCTGAAGATTATTGAATGAGGTTCTCCTGTGACGACAGGCAGAATCGGAGATTCTTCATTTGGTTGGAGGTTGCCGCTAGTAGCCAAACTGGACATTCTTACCGCCACGTCGGAAAGAACGGAGTGGAGATGTTCGCGGGTCGCTGAGAGAATGAGGGAGTTGGACACCGAGAGCCCTGTCGTCTGGCCGGCCTGGTGTTATACTGGTGAGTCAAACACTCGAACGATGGCACAACTAAAATGACTGATAATAAGCAAACCGACTTTGCTAGACACAACGGCATCATGTGACGATTTCTTAATGATAATAGCATTCCGCGAAAAATTGTCTGTCCAATCTATTTAATTAGATTTCTCTTTAAATCATTTGATCATGAACGCCTGCGGTTAATTTCAATTTATCATCATCATTAATTTTTTATTATCGACTTATTATTAATCATAATTTGAAACTTTAATGAATTTTTAATGACTTTTATTAGGGAATTGTGACAACACAATTGTTTTCGATAGAGAATGCCATTTTTGAATTGGCTACGTGTCAATGTATTCAATGTGTTCGTTATATATTATAATTGAACATTTTTTAAGTGTTATTTGAGAAAATTTGAAATGTTTCTGACGCGATCGAGATGATTGATTCGTGCATATAATGCGCTTCGTTCAAACATAACTATCGTCAGTTGCACCGGTAGTTGGTTGACGAAGTCATAACGAGTTATAGTGTAACAGGATGTAAATCGCTATAGCAGTTTGAGGAAAGTTATGAAACACACGGCCGCGAGTAGGCGTCATGCGGCAGCTTTGGAATTCATACTCTATTACTTTATCGACATCTCGAATGACAGACGAAAAACAAATACGAGTATGGACAAGAAGTGCTAATGCGTGCCATGGGAGTGTCGTTATAATGTATAATAGAAAAGCAATTAAAATTCTTGCTAATCTAATTACAGCTTTATTCATGATGAAACAATTAGTTTAATGACGCATATCTAATTTACATAATAAATATATACTCGTATTTATATTTCATCTCCCGACTGTATTTATTTTATGTTAAAATTATATTTTTAATTATAAAGAAAAGAAATGTAGAAAGGATATCAACATGGTAAATATCTGGTAATTAACTGATTATTGGTTAACAATACGGTAATGAAATGTTCTATATGTTATATTTGTCGAGCGCTTAATTTCTCGGAAGTTGTCCGCCGTACATATCTATTTTTCTAACAATAAAATTCACTTTAAGCACTACGTAATATGATTTTTCTGCCACTATCACGCAAAATTCCAGTGCTGTGAAATTTAAATACTTTGTTTATAAATTATTAATAGAATTTTGGAATATCGATTGCGTGTAAAATTAAAATTAATAGTTAAGATTCCTATATATTTTACTCTTTTATTAATTTTTTTAGAATTTTATATTGGTATTACAATATTTATTCTCTTTTGACTTGTGACATTTTTTTTTATTTTTATTTATCGAATATTATATAGCTTATATAGCTTGAATATTATTTTTTTTTAATTTAATTGTTTTAAACTGGCTTAATTAAATTGTTTATTTTGGCTTCATTTTCTGAGTCTTTGACATTTTACGATTAAATCGTAAATAGTATTTATTTTACTATATAGTTTGATCTCTAATGGATTCCTCACATATTTGTAACATAACAAGGAGAAATACACGAGAAGGGTCATAGATTTCCTTGCGGAAAGTGGTTTTTTATCGTTCCTTATCAGACCAGACCTCTTAATTTTCGAACTATGCAGGTAAGCTACCTGCAACGTTGCTTCTTGGCATCGTTTAGCCACACGGAGAATTCGTCCAGTTTTGTTTTCTTAACGGGGAGAGCTCCAAGACACGAGAACGAATCGCGGAGGGTGTAATTATGGTGCTCGATCTTGACAATTAGGAACCCTTGGAAGCTGTCGGTAGCGGAATAGGGGCCACTTAGCTCCCGCAACTTCCAGCAGCTTTATCTCGTTCAATCGCCTCGCGTTATTCGTCGGTGTCTTCTAATTAAGGAATAATCCGCGGATTTTTTTTCTATTCGGGATTCGAGCTAGCAAAAATATCGCTAATTGTCAAGCGATTAATTTTTGAATCTCAGTTATCGAAGTTGATTATCGTCGTATTCTCATGTATCTCAATTTATACTTAATACAGCTAACGGCGAGATATCGATACAGGAATCGATACTCATCACTCAGGAAATCTAGCAAAAAATATCGAGCATAATTAACTCTCATATAGCTTGAGTTGTGTTCTTGAAAACGCACGATCCGTCGCGAATCATTCGGTTAAAACGCTATTTTTGCCAGTCAGGATATTAATAAGCTTTTTTGGCGCCGCGCATTATCTTGGAGCGATTGCACGCGGTTGTGCGCGTTTGTTAGCCAGTTGTTCGACTCTCGGCTTGGAGTAGCGTAACAAAATTGGCATGATTTGGTGACAGAACCGATCCCGCGGAACGGATTTGATACGGTATAAGTCGAAGTAATAGCGAAAGATGCTTTGCGGACGCGCTACTCCGCGTCGCGACCGCTAATGCGATTACCGTTCTTTCGTAGTCACCAGGAAGCAAACAATGTTTCGCGTCGAAATCATCTAGCGTCGCCGCAGAAATCCATTTTCGGAATCTATGATTAGCGAGAAATGTAATTATTATTCCGAAATAATATTCCTGCCGACTGTCCGTTTTTGTATACGGAATTAATATCTTTGTACAATTGATATGGAAAAATTTTGAGTATTTCTTTTTACAATATTATATTATATTAATTATTAATCGATAATTTATTTGTTATCGATAATTTATTTTCCTACTTAAGTAATTTACTTATTAATCATTCTAATCAATTTATTTGACAGAATTTCATGGTAATTCATTTAGTTAAAATTTCTTCTCATTTTTGTATATTTCTTTTTAATTATATTGTACTTATCATATACACGGAGAGAATTTTTTCTTAAAATTTACCCTGAAAATATGAGTCGTGCGACAACATTGTATTTCGAAGAATTTTTTTTTAATGTAAATCTCTCATTCATTAATAAAACTACAATAAATTGTAAAATAAGTTTGATCAATGTTATTGAAGTGTATGATGAAAAATTTGTAAAATATTATGTTGTATCACACCTACCATATTTTTGGGATAAATTTTAAAAGAAAATTCTCTCCATGTAGAGTTCCACATCTGCGTTCATCTATGCTTTTTTCGAATTATGAAATGCAAAAAACGATAATCTAATTAGCTATTGATAAGGTGATAATCATTTAAGTAAGTGAATACTTGTCTATAATGGAATGGACGATAGCGTGAATATCATTCTTAAGCCTTGGTTGAATTTTTTCAACGATTATCCAAGACTTGTGGCTCCCGTGGAAGCATTCGCTCAGTTTGTCGAAACCGCGATGTATATAGAAGTCGGAGAAAGTTATAAATCATGATAACAATTATTGATGCCGTATACTCTCGTGCCTCTTCAATTATATTATCATCATTAAATTAAGTAATTGTATCCTTGTTATCGCTGCTTATATTTTGATTATCTCAAACCAATTATGATTTTCTAACGAGTATAATTAGTTCTTTTGTCCCTTTCTCTTAAATGATGATATATATATCTTCCTTATTTCATCCTTCTTAAATCAGAAAGATATCTATGAAAAACACATTCGATAGAACGAAGGAAGCGTAATGTTCTTGGAATTTGGAACGTCTAGTGCGCTACACTATTGAGATATGGCCTCGTCACTTTCGTAACTTATCGTTGTTCAGGTCTTCCCAACCAGGTTTCCAAGAACCACAGCTCTCACCGTCTACGGTTATCTTGTCGAAGGCGCCATGTAAGGTTTTCCCTGTCGAATAGTCGGAGGGATCATACGTTCACATAGTTTTAGTTTCGTCTTCCGTCATGGAACACGCGACTTAGCAGCCCTCCAGTAATCTCTTCGACGTGTCCTAGTCATTGTCGTTGTCGTTGTGTAGATTGCCATTGCCAGAGTTAAATATTGGCTGTCGCTCAAAATACAAACGCGATTAAGCCCGCGCCGCTGTGGTATCCGCGTCCCTGCCATCAACCAGTAACTTATTTATGGACCACAAAGTATCAGCCTCTGTTTCCGACTATCGTTTCCTTAAAATCCTCTTTTCTTTGTCGACTCATCAGGATCGGATCCCGGTAGATTCTGCGCGTGATTATCGACTCTTTTTCGTTTTCATTGTTTGCGACAGCTAATAAAGCTCGCCAGTAAGAAGAATGAGCTACCTGTGTTCAACGCATTAGATGCGTCATGTATTTAATTTTGCAATTGCGATGTACGCACATATGTGATGGAAAATGCTATAATAAAAAAATATATAATTATCTTTCAATTTTATTACATGATTATTTATATTAATTTCTTTACAAAATTAGCCAAAATTATTAGAAATTTTTAAGAACAAATATTAAAACATGGAAATATTTAATACATATGTATGTATTGTGGGTATCATTAAATCTAACATTTGGCACTATCCTCATGAAATAGAAATCAAATAATAGATGTTTTTCATTTCAAGTAAAATTAACCCTAAGATTAGAGACAAGAAAGCCGGAAAGAGTACAAAGAAAATGGCAACAAAGAATTCGTTAAAATCATCCCTCGCTGTTCAAGAGACTAATAGACGCGCCATTATGACGGAAGCGGGAACAGCTTCAAAATTGCACTGCGAGGGTTTCTAATCGCGTTTTCTCGAGACAAAGGGCATCAACCGTGGAAGAGGATATACCTAGAGCTGAGGAAGTGGTGAAAGGGAGAGATAAGGGCGAGGAAGAAGGTGAAACAAAGAGAAAGGTATAAAAAGGATGAGGCAGGCAAGGGGAAACGTGAAAAAGTGGCAGACCGCGTCGAGCTCGAGGTGGGAACAAAAGCCACCTCTTCTTCTTGTTCGTCTTCTTCTTACTTTTCTTCCATCGTCTCGTCCACGAAGCTCTCTTCGAGAAAAAGAGTGTGTGTGTGTGTGTGTGTGTGTGTGTGTGTGTATGTGTGTGTGTGTTTATGTGTTTGTGTGTTTGTGTGTGTGTGTGTGTTTGTGTGTGTGTGTGTGTGTGTGTGTGTGTGTGTGAGAGAGAGAGAGAGAGAGAGAGAGAATGAAAGGAAAGGGAGAGAAAAGAAGAGGGAGAGGCATTTGGTCCTGCGCT